ACCTATAAACATAAACTAGTAAATAATTTTAATTTATTTTTCGTTCAAATTACATGTCTATTTAACATAATAGACATTTTTTTTTCAGATTCCTTATGATCTTATGAAATATTTTTTTATTTGCCAAATAAATATAGACTCAATAATGTTACTGAATGACCTTCGGTCCTGTTCGTCATAATTAGGTATACAAACACAAACAGTCAGACTGATTATATAACTAATAATTAATAATRCTTACAATAATTATTTCCAATAATGATTACCTACCGAAAACGATTATTTTGTATGATATGTTGTCAATATTACCTAAGTATGATATTTCTGAAGAAATTGAAAAATAATTATCGTTGCTCCTTTTCTAYACTTTATTATTATTAATTAGATAACATTAATATTTTCACTTTTCTCGTTCTCATAATATGATATTATGACGGATATACATRAGTATAGACAGCATAGCTGACTTGGTATTACGCCTGCACAATGTCTGTATCGTTTAAAATTATATATTACTGATTGACAGGCATATTGAATTTTAAACGTTTTTCGTTAATTATTGTTTTCTTTCGTCAATTAGAGAAATATTATAGCCTGTAGATAATTGTAATGATGAAACAGCATTATTGTCTAATAATAATTATATCCAAGTACTTAGGTGTATATACTACTTCGTGTACTCCAGCTGTATCTAATCTTCTTCTATTAGTCCTATTACAATATTCGATTAATTCGATTGAAATATTACAAGTTTTATATAATTGGAAAACAATATTACGAACAATATTATGTTGGTACCGTGAAAAATGTCAGTAGTATAGAAACAACAGTAAGTAAAAGTGGAGACGATAATATATAAAACGAATTACGATTTATAACACGATATATAAAAATAGTTTCCCTTGATTATACGATGTTATATAATATTTGTTTTTGATAGAAAATAAAAATATTACTCCCGGAACTGACGAGATTTTTATTTACAACTACTTTTTTAGTTTAATAGCCGTACTCCGCGTACTCAACTTACTACATTTTATCTGTCGTAATATAACAGAATAATAAAATTATTTTCACGAAATGAATGTACATGAAAAAAAAAATTTACAGATAAAACGTATACTATTAGTTACAAAAAAGTTACGTCAAACCGAATAGTATGAATTGAGATGAAATTTGAATTGACAAAATTTAAAATTGCATCAGAACACTATAATTTKRAAAATCTAAGGTTTGGTTTAGCTATAGCCTGGTTTTGTAGTAGCCGTCTATAGGCCTATAGCCTATAAGTTGAGAAGTTAATCGTGTACATTATTATTTCACTTGCAACTTATATAATATTGAAAATGGCTTACTATCGTTTGAGAACATTTGTTCGCTGATTTTTGAAACGTTACATACAATAATAAAATATACTGTGCAAATGCATAAATGCCATCAAATTGTATAAAATGAATAAAACAGTGGACGAACATACTGTAGTTTTATGTTTTATGAAACATAAATGTACATGGTATCATTCATCAACATAATTGTAGCAATATCAATTCAAAAAGTAATAAACATTTATAATTATACGTTTATACCCGAATTTGCCTGTTACAATATACTTCGAAAACGAAGTCAACACAGTAATCTGAAAGCAGACTCATTAATAAAAACTAAAAATAAAACCGGAATATGTACCTACCTACCTGTTCAAGAATTTTTTTTTATATAGCATAAATATAACATGTCTGTAAACGGCCTCTTGACCTATCGGCGAAAGTTATAACACATATTTTAACATTGAATTTGAATACCGGATTTTAAACTATTTTTATTTCATTCATGCATAAATTGTATATTATTCATTTCAATCATTGATGTTAGAAAGCATCTTTATATAAATTAATTTATATTCATAAAAACGTAATATTTCGGATGGCGTTTAAATTTTGGTGCTTACAGAAATTTATAATAATCATTAACTTCCGACTTATAATGGCGTTTAACACTAAATATGTTATACATTTTTTACACCATTGTATAACGACTATACTGTACATCAAATGACCCATTGTTAAATCAAAGACCATCGATCATTATACTTATACATGGATATCACAAAAGACCATATCCGTATAAAAAATTAATATATTATTATATTACCTATATTAACAACGAATAAATATCAAAGTAATTGTAATAGAACTTAAATAATAATATGAATGTTTGACACGTTGGACGTTTTGTTTATTAGATATCGAGTTAATAATAATATTACTATTGTATACGCTGACACGTTTAGAGACTTTAACGACCGGATCTGACAGCGATCACGAGTGAGATGACTCTATTCGTCCTAACCCAACTTTTTCCACGAATTCTGTTTAATTTCAATTAAAATGGTTTGTTAAAAATGTGAGAGTTACGGTCCAAATTTGTCCGATATGGAGAAAAATAAATAAAAAGTGAAACTTCCGGCACGATGCCGAAATCACTGCACATATGTGACGTGAATTATGTGATTATTATATTATTATTGTTGGTGCCTGTATAACATAATAGGTAACCTATACCTACCTAATATCAAACCGTTTGATCGAAAGTCGATTGATATTCGCGCGCATGTTATTATTATCGTGGACGCCGAAAAATATCGAAAAGAAATGAACGAATATTGTCAGTGCCCTGCAGTCTTCATTCGGTTCGGTTTTCGCGTCTGCCGAATATTATTTATTCCGATTACGAGCGGGTGGCAGGAGGGATCTTCGTGACGCGCGCGCGCACTGTTTAACTGGCGTATTGCACGTGGCTGCAGCATAGTTGCGAGCGGCGTAATAATATAATATTTAATAACAATAATGATAATGATGACTATGATGATAACAATAATAATAATAATAATAATAACAATAATAACAGACCACCTTGGGCGATGGCGCTTGCCTCCGAGCTAAAACAATTAAGTGAAAACGACGATTCGCTTTATACATATATATTATTCGTATTATATACGCGCGCGCCATAATACAGCTGCGTACCGTATACTTTTGCAGCGTAATAATCGGTAAACGCGAGCCGATTGAAAATCATGACTATATTGTGATCGCCGTGAGCAACAATAACCGTACGTCGTGTATATATAGGTAGTCATTTATTGTGATAACAATAATATAATATAATAATGTTGTATTGCACAGAGAAACAATGCTGATRGACCGGTATATTATAATATACGACTTTGGCGATCCATTGCTCGTCTGTGGTGTGTCGCCCGGCCGTTAGCTACGTAAACAATAAATAGACAGACGTCGTCGTCGTCTCACAATCATAAACCAAAGAAGAATATTATTTCAAAAMGTTCCGATGACTTATCTCCGGGCACAGTCGTCATCCCATGACTGCGTATTTCATTTCGTCGTTATACTGTCGATAGTCATTACATTTTACCGTCGTCGTTGAAGCGCGACTACTGTTGTAAATYGCTGCCTAATCTTTTATTGTACGCAAATTAAAGTATTTAGAATTAGTTGAAGTACCTACATGCCGAGAATGCAAAAAGTAGGTGAAATATTTTAATCGCGTAACTCTGCACAAAAATATTTMTGGGTGTGTGTTCTTTTAGGGTTGGAATAGGTATTTTGAAAAAATTTTAAATGTTACTCAATCACTAAGAATCAACTGTGAATATATATTATATTTACAATTTAGAGAGCATTGAAAACATTTTTAGCATGGGCATATATTTAGTGGTTTTCCACAATTTTAGTCTCAACACTTTTTTTTATTAAACTCACGCATATTATTATAAAATTGTACTTCCCACGAATTTTTTAAAAAGTCCACATCAATGATACGATTGAAATATACCAAATAAAGGTAAAATAACAACCTATACTAACAACTCTATAGACACTTTTCGAACTTGCGATTTAAATAAAATCCGAAACGTTCAAATAATATGCACACTTTTTTTCGAACACCTAATTTACTGCTATCTGACACCTCTGAGAAAAAACTATTCGAGTAATACGCACATTGTACTCACAGGATAAAAACAGTTTGCAATCCGTAATTTAACTGTTAAAAAGTATTTATTATTATTCATTAACACTGCATAGGTAGCGATCAAATCCATTATAGAAAACAAATTATATTATAGAGGTATGAATATGAAGACTACTTCGAATTGATCAAATGTCGAGAAATGGAGAAAGATACGYGTTAATTATATTTTTGGTTTACGGTAACCAACAATCAAAAGAAGAAAACTGAAACAATGTCCGTAGGTAAAATAATAATACAACAATAAAACCACAACAATAATAATAATATATATGTGACGAATTAAAATATAGTATTCTTTTGGCGAGATAATATTATACGCGACGGTGTGGAGAATCGGCACGTGGGATTTTTCGTTCTTCTCAGACGGCACTTGTAAGAAATTAAAACGACATGAAAATTATAAATTATTATAAAATATCTTATAATATTATTTCATATCGAATCGACTGCTGCTTTTCGGCTACAATACACGCGTGCAGCATATTACTGGAACTGAACTGAGTTTTGCGTGTGCGGAAAAAACTTAGTCTGGAACCGTATAGTCGTGTCGTCCTCGATTTGGCCACCGCCGGAACCGTCGTATACAATAATAATATTGTCGAAGTGGTAGCGACCGGATTATAATATCATGGTTAACGATTTCGTGGACGGTTAACGATAACGACAGTGTCCGCGGCGCAAGTACGCGCGCAAACGTTCACGGCCAAAGAAAGGCGCCGCCGCCGCCTCTGACGACGACAACGGAACAAGAAAGTCGGGTAAAATGGGCGGGCGCGGGCGGGGAGTACGTCTGCAGAGTGGGCTGCCCGGACGGATGTTGCAGTGTCCGGTCCGTGGCGGCGGAGGGCGGGCGAAAATAGTTACGACGCGCGCCGCGCGGTCGTGTGCAGCGGGTTTGATAAAAAGCGAAATCCGGCGGGCAGCCTCCACAATAAATACGACGGCCGCCCCGACAGTTGTATCATTACAGTCGTACAGTTCAAAGGAACAACAACAGCAACAACAAAATAACACCAGCCAGCAAAAGCAGCAGCCATCGTCCACCTTCAGCTTGCTACGTTCAGCAGAGCAACTCTTCGTGATCGAAAAATCGAAAAACCAACAAACATCACCATGAGTGTCGCGTTTAAGTTCGGATTAGTAGTGTTGTCGGCGTGCGTGTGCTTGRCTTCGGCCGACCCGATCCCCGCAGCGGCGGTCAAACCAATCGACGAAGGATGTGCCGGCCACCAGGACTCGTTTGCCTGCGCTCAAATACAATTCTACCGGGCAGCCCGATCTTTCTTCGACCAGGACAAGGTTGATCTGATTGGAGGTTTGTCCCTCGTCAAGACCGAGAAGAAGGGTAGGTCCCTCGCCGAGAACGCCGAAGATGTCAACAAAGTGGAAAACGCCAAAGACTCCAACGACCGTGAGACCGCACTTGAGGACTTCACCATGCACAAGGTAATGCGTTTCTTCCAAGAGAGGACCCTCCACTGGAACTTGTCGCCAATTGTCACCGAAGTATCCGAAACCGCCCGCAGCGTTGTTGACCAAATCCCAACTCAATTCAAATCCAAGATCTCCAACTACATCGAAGAAGGTAAACGACACAATTCAATATAATAATGACTTTAGTTAGGTATATGATATTGTTTGTYTTCGTTACGATGAACCTAAAGCTAAACGTTTTGAATTCTAATTGAACTCAAATTATAAGTAACACTGACTTTGACACTGACATAGAATGTGCAACATATTTTCTARATGATAATTTATTCTACTACAGACTAACAATTTACATAATATTTATATACAATAGGGTTCATTGTTTTATTTTATTACTTCGATTTATGCTCGATGTTTAAATTTTTCATAAACACCGATCAAAACTATTTAGATCGTTTTAATTAATAGTTGTCATTTATTTTGACAAGTTCTGTAACTTCGATGACGCTATATATTTCTTTTCAATTAAAATCAAAAAAAACTATGGTTAAAAAAAATACACTTCTTGAGGCGTTCGAATAGTCATTAAACATTTGTTCAATAGTTCTGACTAATTAACGATGTTATAATACTGTCACATGTATTGGTGATTAGCGCTGCAATTACTGTCTAATAGGTCGAATGAAACAAACCGAATTATAATCTAATTATATCRCATTTGTTCGATTATTGTGTACTAAAACGAAACGTATTCATAACAGGCCGTGGTATCCTCAAGAAGAAGAAGTTCTTGAAGCATCTTATCCCACTCTTGATCGCTCTGAAAGTCAAATTATCCGCCTTTGTCGTCATCGCTTACTTCGTCATCGCTTTGATCGCTAAGAAGGCTCTGTTAGCCTCTGTCATCTCTCTGCTCGTTTCCGGATTCATTGGTATCAGAAAATTGTTGGCCAGCCAACACCAAACACCTCACCATGAAGTGGTAAGTTCCGCGTTAATTATTTTTTTTTACTSATAATGGGGGCTAAAACACTCAAAATTCAAAATATTCATGTGTCGCACGATATTATAATGAAAACAATATGTTCAAAACTCTCGAGGTATAATTTTGACCAACGGAACTCAAGAGATCGCGAACTCTGTATATTATGCACAACAATTCTTTTCCCGGGGCACATCATTATCGTCTCGTGGTTGACAATATTATTCACCACGCACATTTTCCCACAACCCCGATACGCGTTATTCAAATATAATATTATTAATCACGAATCGTTTTTGTTCTGGTGATTGCAGATCGAGACACACGCCTCACACGGTAGCTACGGTAGCAGCGCCCCAAGCGGTTACAGCGCATCCAGCTCCGGATGGGACAGCTATGGAGGAGGACACGATGCCCATGGATCATACTCCAACAACGTTGGCCAGACCTTGGCCTACGGTGGACAAAAGCCAGTTGCCAGATAGAGACTACGGTAAGTCAGAACACGTTTGTGTAAAATATCATAACATATAATTGTTAGCATCACCACCGCCGTATAACACACACACACGCACACACGTGCCCGTATTATGTTATGGTAAATCGTACGCGATGTACCAACGACGGTCAAGGATGACATCACACAAATACGGTGCTGTTATTTTATATAAATCCGCGGTCGTCCGACCGTAAACCCGGACGGACAATCTGAATGCATCGCACTCGTTTTCTAGGTTAATGACGGCGGCGGCGGCGGCGACGGAGTCGGTTTTTAATCGAACTCGCCGCCGCCGGTCATTGTACATTCACCCGATGGTTAGATCGCCTTATAAAAATATATACATGTAATAATGTTTCATCGCTGGCCCCGGGATAGTATATAATATACATATAACATACGCGACGACGACGACGGTTAAAACATAACACGTATAGTTTAAATAATAATAATATACACGTTTTGATGATGTTCAATGCATTGTAGGCGTGTGTGTAATCGAATCGTTTTTGGACCACGCGGGGGACCCCCTCGGGAGAAACGGTCAACGGACAAGGTGAAAGTCGGGCAAGTTCAAGGGGGACCGGGTGTGCCGTGATTCGTTTATTTGTATTATATTCCTTATTTTGTGCGCTCGGCAACACACGTGGCACACGCGCAGACCCGTTCTAGAGATTTCGAATCGATTGATGATCGTTTTTCCGGCCGAGTGAAAGCTGTACAACTATCAAACTGGTTTTCGGGCGTTTAGCGTTTATTTGGATTTCCGGAGGCCGAGAAACTCGATCGTATCCTCACCTCGACTAGGCTATATTATATGTAAAACCGGGCGGTGTCCAGTGTAGTCTTATGTATATTATTATAATTATAACAGAATCTTAAGTTATACGTGTGACCGTATGTGTGTGCATGTGCGTTGAACTGTTTTTGACGACGAATATAGTGTGTGTCATAACAATAACGATACGATGCTAATAATAATATTATCTACGATGATCAAATCGCCGTTTTCTGGTCAACATTGTACGCCGAGAACTAAATTTAATTTTTTTCATTTTTTGCCCAATTCTCCACCACACCGTCGAATCTTATGATTTTTCGGTGTCCGATGATGGCGACGCTTTTATTATAMTAATGCGAGCATTTGTTTGTTTTTCTGTTTCCAGACGTGAAAGGCAAGCCTGACTATTTGTATATATATAATATTTGTGCAAGGTCTTGCCCGCCGCAGTTCAACAATGGTGAAAACAACATCAGCAAAAAAATACAAAAAAAAACTCACAAATTATTTATTTCAAATTATCATCGACTCCGACGCGGCGCGACACGTAACTCATACGAAACCGGGACGACGAGCCATCGACTGCCGACATTTTTTATTCAAACAAGTCGATGATTCGACTACTGGTGTATATTTACGATGACTATACTACGATAGGGACCACGTGACTGACATACAATTATAACCGACGCGACAATTATATAATATCATCATCCTCTCGTCATATATATATATACACCCCCGACTCGTTAATTATTTTTATTTAATTTTTAAAATAGCATAATTTTAATATGACTCTTTACTTGGTAGGTTGACATTAACCCGACAAACCCGAAACGGATATGGTGTCATCCACACGACTGACACGTTGACTGAACGAACCTATATAATATTTTTACCATAATTTATTTTCAAAAATAACCATAACGCATATATTATATAGCATAATAATATTATAATGACGAATAGATATGTGCCAAAGACATAATAATAATATATCAACAATTATAATATTACGTGTAGGACATGACTGACTTTATAGCCCCACTCGTTGACTTCACTGACTTTGACTGTCGTCGTGATACACTGTCTCGACGACCGTCAAAATAACGACCATTTGACAACCCGCATACTATCTGACAACGTATACAACCGACTCGATTAGCTTATCCGCTAATATTATACTTAGTCGTATCGGACGTAAGATAATTATATTTATTTATTTTTACCCGTTTTGTAAAACATTTGTATTTTTTATTTAATAAATAAACGCATTTAGTTATTGCCAAAGAAAATGTCAATACGAAAGTTATATTTTAGTGTTCGCTATATTATTTTATCTCATCATCACTTTCATTTTGCGAGTTTRCGACGACCAAACACTGCGTTGGTGAATATCATARTACTACACATTGCACTAATTTGTGATAATATGTCCACTTGTATTCGTCCGTTTGCACTTCAGCACCGAAATTGCCTACACGAACGCCTGCCCGCGTGTACGGTAATGGTACTACCCTATGTTAGAAAAATAAACCAGAAAAACTTTCACTAAGACAGTTGAAATAATGCGGTGTTCACCGGAAAAACCTCATCGTCCTGTAAAGCTGGTAGTATACTTACTACAATCGCTCGATTTTCTTGCTTATGAATATAATATATACACATRTTATAATATAATATAATAATATACAATAGGTACGCGTTTGGATAATATTGTATTCCATCATCTTTTAATACACAATCGAATAAGCATTATATACATTTATAAATATCATAATATACATACATATGTGCATATGTGTGTGTGTATGCTCAATCCATATTATACACACACACACACACACACACACACACACGCGCATAGTAAGTATATATACATTTTCCAATTTCAACTTTGTCAGACACTCACTTTGTTTGCGATTCATTCATCGCACATACATAAAAAAATAATAATAATAAAACATGTACGTGAGGTTTGCAATAACGTTGACACGATAAACCAATTACGGAAATTGAATGGAAACGCGTTATTCATTTGCGGCACGTTTCTAACACGACGTGGCTTGTATAGGTACTCGTCGTGTTATCAATAGTGCTTCGGTACCTATACCACTTCAGACGGACCCCGGGTGGTTGTCGATAACGATATAAAATAGAATAATATTATCTTTCGATTTGAAAATATAATATACACAAACATTGTACAATAGTAGTATTATAGGTATAGACGGACTACGGACACGACACTCGCTCGGTCCTGTGCAGGAAAATAACAATTATGGCGTGGGCGGTGTGTTGATATGTAAAATAGATACAGTTTTTATCGCGTGTTTTTCTATAGGCGATTTAAACGAAACAACGAACACCCATTATCCATTACAATATTTATTATACTGTGGGTCTGCAGTGGTATASAGAAGTATCAAACGCGTTGTTAACCCACAGACCAACGACAATAAAAGTGCACTCGATGAAACGTCATAACGATTATGCGTTCGTAATAGTTATTTTATTGTGTCCAGATACGAAATCGTCGCAACAACAAGAGCGGCGGAGTTTGCGCGCTGACTATACCGCAATCATCGTTAGCGTTGGTAACGTCCCGCTGGCTGCTGCAGGCACCRAAATAATATTAWATTCCATAAGGGCGAATGTTGATATTAATATATTATTATACCTATATCATTCACCGGCGCGTGATTCGAAAGCACGTCCCCGTCGTCGCTGCGAATACAAATAATAATAATGTGCGATTTTTTTTTTTCTTCTTAATGTCAGACACAAATCATCAACAATACGCGATTAACTGCATTTCATAACGAATCGTTAGAATGGTTTTCTAAAATTAGGCCATCAACAAGACGTAGGTACCTATCGTCCATGTACCTAATACACTGCAGCTGCTGTGGCAGGAAAGCCGCGCACACAAAGTACGCACACTTTTCACCTGCTGCCATGATGAGTGGTAACATAGCACGCTGTATATTGATACATTCAGTCCGAACCACTCGTTTCTCAAAATGTTTGTGGACCTAAATAATTATATTATTATTATATTTATAGATATCGGAATCCGTGTAGTCATGTTTCCGTGTAGTCTCACGGAACAAGTATTCGAATTGGGTCACATTCAAATGTATTAAGTGAACATGAAAATATTTCTACGCATATATCTTATGTATATATAAATATGAATATACATGGTGTATATATATCCAATAATAATAATAATCATAAAACAGGGAAAGTTTGTCTTATAAACCACACACACACACACACGTGGCTTTCGAATAATTTACGGCAGCTGTTTATAATATAAATATTTATAATATAAAACTTTAAAAACAATATATGTATATATTGTCTTTTTTATGGATTGATCATGATAATCAAATCTCTCCGGTTGTAATACAATATATTACGTCGGTTTTAGTAGTTTTAAACACGTTTTCTATTAATAWAATGTCGTATATGGGTTGACTGACCGAATAATGAATTATTATTTTTTGATTTAACTATAGAGTATAGACTATAGGTATAACCCACACAGATCCCATTTCACATAAAAATTTAAATAAATCTAATTACAACATACAGAAAGCTGTATTATAATTACACTGATAAAACATGACCTGAAACTCACATCCGGATTAACGATAAATAATGGTAAATTGTTTCCCAATAAAAATAATAATATGCTATTGTCAAAAGAGAAAAAATATAGTATTCCAGTAATGTTTATTTTTTAATGGACGATAATTGTTCTGTTCGAGCATCGCATAGCATTGTTGCATACGTAACCAACAATAACAATTATTTAACTAAGTAATACAGATATTATTGTTTTATAAAGAAGAAAAGTTTGAAATATTATACATGTGCTCCCATCTAGTGGCACGAATCAAATGTAATAGCAACTTTCGAAGAACTCATTACCAGTGGAAGGTGTGTGAACGTTAAGTTGCTTGTTCAACGCGCCGTTTATGTGCCTACCGTTAATACGTCTTACAATATTATTATCGATTGGATAAAGACATATCAAAAAATCTTMCCCCTATTTCTTTCTTGTAAATAGCCAGTCAATAAAAATAAAAAATAAATATGTTAATTTTTTTTTCTAGGTATGACATGAGATCGTGAATATATTTTTTGAATATTACAGTAAGAAATTAATAATTAATATAATAATTATATTATATCACGATATTTACGCATTCATCAAAATAATATTATATTTTGATGCAACCATACCAATTGATAAATAATTGTGACGAAAAGTGCGTCTTATGAATTTCAGATACACTCTCCAGTCCAAATACATGACGTTCTTACAGTCAATATTTAGATTTGATACAATATGATTTTTCATCAAATATTACAATAATTRTTAATACATCAACGATATAAATTAATATGCATTAGTAGGTATACAGCTTCAGTAAGTTGAACAATATTGTATGTAAAATAATARCACCTTACGACCTGTGCAGTAWAMCCAAATACCTAYAGTTGTTTGTTATTCTATAGAACGAAAACAGATTATAATAGGTCAGATTATACTCAATAAAAAATTTAGTACCAATTTACGGCATATATTCCCACGCCTTAAACATTAACTTTCTTTAATTATGTCTTTTTTTTTTTGAAGAGGAGGTGGAAGGGACTCATTTCTGCATCGCGTAACACTTTCTAAATTTTGATTTTTTTTTCTATCCATTTCATTATATCATTAAATCAATAAACAATATTATTTAGGAATACTTTATAGTTGCAAATCTTTATTGCATCCTATTTATACGTGCGCAATGTAGTTGAATTGTAAATAAATATTTAATAAAATTACGATTTATACATAATGACACACCTTGTACGAGAGCTTTAGTCATTTAAAAAAAAAGTTTTGTAACCATGAAAATATTTACAGTTAGAGTACACCGTATACATACAATATTACTAGAGTATATTTACAAAAAATTTTCTATATCGGTCACTTTTAGAGCTTTTTTCATATAAATGCACGATGTATTCTCTTTTATTTATCCAATAATACAATTATTCAAATATTTGATTATTTTAATTTTTAAATAAACATAAATTTCATTTTTTTTTCAAATTCTAGAAATTKTTTGTACTACTTTTTTGCTGTGGAGATACGAATTTATTGTTTTCCAAATGATAACCAAGAGATGTTTGAGAATACTTTCTTACTGTGAATTATGAATGGGAAATTTTTCTGAAAATGTTGATGTATCTAAACTCGTAAGAATTACTTTTGAGTTACATAACTTTAATAACTAAGTACATTGTTAGTTTACAACTATTAAGGATAGTAAATTTATGATAATAGATTTTTAAGGTATGGAGATTTTGGTGATTTTAACATTTTARTTATGATTATCAATCTTCTATCAACATGAAAAGTTTGTTGAAATGGTCTAATAAATAATAGATTCAATATAGTATAAATTTCATATTTTTTTTAAAACATTTTATTTGACACTATCCTTAGATAAATTATTTTTATAACAACTAACAAACTATTTGTTTTGATTTGTTCCAAAAAAAAAAAAATTCACAAAATAATTTACAGTATAAAAATGGGTGAAGAGGGAATCTTGAAAACAGAAGATTGATCGCCACCAATACTGATTAAGTGTAGTATACAAAAATGATTGGATATTTGAGTTTATTTCAAAATTCCAAAATTATTAACTTACCAGATTCATCTAGCAAAAAATGGCGGTGAGCAAACTGGTTGAATAACSCCGTATACTATAATACCGATTTTTAACCGTAGAGATACACGAAGACGTGCAGGTCATTATAAATTATAAATACATTAATGTTAGAAATTAGGTAAATACACTAGAGTTAATAATATTATAATGTGTCCCGCTTGAATAATTTTAATTTTATTCAACAAGTCGTGGTAAGTTCGAATGTTATTTTTTCATATAATTAAAACATAAATAATTTCTATTTGGTAATCTAGATCAGTCGACGAGAGACAAAATAATTAAAAACTTAAGTTATATTTCAGAGTAAAAGTAGAAGTTGTAGTAGTAGCTGTATAGTCTATAGTTAGTAGTGCAACTAACGAAGGTTGGCGAGTTGGAATGCTGGTCTGAGAAACTCTATTGATTGAGCAGTTTCCAGGTGCAATGCCCTAACGTGTAACGTTTTTTTTTTTTTTTTTTTGTTAAATATCATGATTATATTTGTCTTCAATTTGTATGGCTGTAATTCAAATAATTATATTATTATTCATTTTACGATTTATGATTTATTAAATGAATTA